CAGGAGCCATGTGATCAGTGTTTTAATATGGATGGATGCGCTTTATTTGACTACTTTTGAACTGTTGAACAAAAACACCTGCCCACTGCCATTATAAAGCTTGGAAGAGCCAGGACAGTTTTTTAAATAGCTCCGATTGGATTTGCCAGAAAGGAGAAAGTCATATACACCTAGGATGCTTTGAGGGTGAGTAAAACATGGACTAATTTTCATTTTTGGGTGAACTAACCCTTTAATGTCTAAAGTCTGATTACACTGTAATCAGCACAAACTGGGCTACAATCATATGTGAGCAGCATGATTGTACATGTTTGTGTTTTTGAGAAAACAACATGGTTAGTGAAAAACTAAAATTTTGAAGTCACTGAAATAAGGCCATAAAACACATACAGATCGTTTGTTCACAAGACTTTTGAGAACTGGATGTGGTACAGCTTTTGCTACAAAATTATGTGAAAATGATCCTGCTCACTCATCCACAGAAAACGATATATTGATTTAACTTTTATAAGACATGTTTTGTGATAGAATGCCCTTATGCGAGGGAGTGACAATGGCCATGAATATTTAGTGATTCACACCTGACAGACAAAGGGCCTCCAATAATGAGCCATCAATATGAATGTGACTGAGGCAGGTAAGAAAGAGTGTGAGTGTACTTTATTTACAAGACGGTATAATCAAGAAATACACAGAGAAAGTCAAGGACACATGATTGAACATACTGATCTAAACACTGAGACTTGAACAGTAGTACAAGTCATAGTACACAGAACATAGTTACAGTGTAAACACTCTTTTATATCTTGTGGTTTATACAAGAATGAATGAAAAACAACCTTAAATAAATCCGTCTTAATCAACTTTTTATGTAGAAGTAGCTGGGATGAACTTGAATCTTCCCGTTTATACATGGAGGTGATGTGGACTTTATTTAAAAGTAGACATTTCAAGCTTTCTATAAATATACTTCTCATGTCTGTGAGGCAAGTATTCACAGAGATTCAGGTTGTTTTATTTAATGTCTGTGAAGAGAGGTGACAGAGACCAAAACGGCACCCTGTTTATTTTCTTTATTTTACAAAAGTACATTGTTTTGTTGTTATTATGACTATAAATCATATAGTCATAATAAAATTTATTATGACTATACACAAATAAAAGTAGATCCTTTGCAGTTTCAAACCATACCTTATTCTTCTTTTCACGGTCATCAAGAAAATACGAGACAGACCGCACCGGTGCGGGCCTTGACCCCAGAGGGTTAAAGTAAAGTTATAGGCCAATTCTGTAAAGGTTTATCAGACTTCCAAAAGGACATATGAAGTTGTGAAATCCAAGTCGGTAGTAACCCAATGAGTCCTTTTTACAGTTGGTGTTATAGTATCAACTGCAAGCAAACTAACTTAAATCACTGCATTTACTATTCTAAATGTTCTCTCCCTTTAATCCATGTTCTTGCGTTCAGGGTTCTGTGATCTCACACTGGATCCAAAGACCGCAAACGGTCTTCTCATTCTATCTGAGAAGAACAGGAAGATCACATGTGTGGAAGAACAGCAGTCCTACCTGGATCATCCAGACAGATTTGATGACTGTGAACAGGTTTTGTGTAGAGAGAGTCTGACTGGACACTGTTACTGGGAGGTCGACTGGAGCGGATATGCTTACATATCTGTGTCATATAAAGGAATCAGCAGGAAAGGAGGAGATGACTGTAGATTTGGATGGAATGAAAAGTCCTGGAGTCTCTTCTGTAGTGTTGATAGGTTCAGTGCCTGGCACAATAACAGAAATATGAACATGCCTGTTCCTTCACCCCCCTCCTCAAAAATAGGAGTATATCTGGACTGGATGGCCGGCACTCTGTCCTTCTACAGCGTCTCTAACACACACACACTCACACACTTACACACATTCAACACAACATTCAAAGAGCCTCTTTATGCCGGATTTAATGTGTATTCCTCATCGTCCAAGTTGTCTTTGTGTAGGGTTGACCAATGTTAGATTATATTACGCTCTCTGCCAGATATTTCTGCGAGTTTGCCTGTCTGCGTTTCCTCCTTCCTCCTCCCTTCTCTTTCCATCTCCCTGTCTCTTATTTTATATGCATGCGCAGATGTTTAGGGGTCTTTGTGGTGTTCAAGATAAGTAGGGAGTTGAGGTACTGGAAAGGGGGTTCTGGCCTGAACCGGCCTGTTTGGATCTAGAGGTGTAGCTAGAAGAAAATCCCTTTGTTTGCCAAATGTATTCCTTATATGTACTTGTTTCCCCCCTTACATTTATTTATGATGTAGTGTATAATTCTTATTGAATAAAAGCACGGTACCACCCCTTGAAATCTATATATATAATCTACTGATGTAATAATCAGTAGATTATAAATATAATAAGCCGATCAGGCTTCTAGCTAGTTAAAAAAAATTTTTTTTTTACTTGCCCGACCGCACAAATAACCTAAAATTAAAACATAAATGACAAAAAAAATAGCCAGCGAAGCATCGAACCGCAAGGAGGATTCTTCTATACTTTAGCCTACATTCAATGTAAACAGCGATTGATAATGGATAGTGTATTTCTGGTATCTAGGTCGCGCTGTTGAGGCTCACTCTGTTTGTCTCTTTGTGAGAGACTTCAGAGCAAATGAGCGTAACAGCACACATAAAGAAACTCAGAAGAAACACACTGAGGTAAAAATTTAAAATGTTTAGTTTATTCATAACATGATATAGTTAAAGGGTTTGTTCACCCCAAAATTCTGTCATTAATTACCCTAATTTCGTTCCAAACCGGTAAGACCCTCGTTCATCTTCGGAACACAAATTAAGATATTTTTGATGAAATCTGAGAGCTATCTGACCCTCCCATAGACAGCAACACAACTGAAATGTTCCCAGGTGCTCAAGGGCACCTCAGTCGTGGTATTGAAGGTGGGAGAGAGCGCTGTACATTCACTCCCCCCCCCTACAATCCCTGCCGGCACGAGACTCAAACTCGCAACTTTTGGGTTATGAGTCCGACTCTCTAACCATTAGGCCACGACTTCCCCCAGTCCATGTGACATCAGTGGCTCAACTTCAGTTTTGCGATGCTACGAGAATCCTTTTTTTTTTGTGCAAAGAAAACAAAAAGAACAATTTACTCAACCATTCTTGTCTAAGCATTGTTTATGCTTAGGGGAAAGCGTGCGTATGCATTGTAATACTCTCTAAAATGGCATTGCAAAACTGAAGTTGAGCCACTGATGTCACATGGACTGTTTTACCGATGTATTTACTACGTTTCTGGACCTGGGAACATTTCAGATGCGTTGCTGTCTATGGAGGATCAGATAGCTCTCCGATTTCATCAAAAATATCTTATTTTGTGTTCCGAAGATGAACGAGGGTCTTACCGGTTTGGAACGACATGGGAGAGAGCAATTAATGACAGAATTTTCATTTTGGGGTGAACTATCCCTTTAAGTAACACCATGACAAGTGAGCTATTTTGCTGAATATTCTTGCGATGCAAAAAAACATTCTAAACACCTACAGAGTGCACACGTGCATTACGTGAAGTCTAGTGCGCTCTTTCACTGCATGATTCAGTCTTTTGTGTTCCGAAGATGAACGAGGGTCTTACCGGTTTGGAACGACATGGGAGAGAGCAATTAATGACCGAATTTTCATTTTGGGGTGAACTATCCCTTTAAGTAACACCATGACAAGTGAGCTATTTTGCTGAATATTCTTGCGATGCAAAAAAACATTCTAAACACCTACACGTGAAGTCTAGTGCGCTCTTTCACTGCATGATTCAGTCTATTAAAATACATACAGAGTGATCACAAATTCACGACATGGGGGCAGAAAATGTATATATTTATACCACTTCATATCGTTAATTAATTTCACATGAAGAGTCCGTTTTTTTTCTACAAAACTTACCACGATTACAAATGTGATATTGATTTTTTTACAACAGGTCAATAAACTAGAAGTTTTATTAAGAGACTAACGTTTTAGACACCTTATTGCCTGTGTTTGCACTATTTCGCCAACAAAAATAATTCCAAACAAAGCCACAGCACTGTTTTGCGTTCCTGAATGAATCAACCGTTTAAATGATTCGGTTCAATCGCAATGACTCACTTATTAACAGTGACTTGCTGCCACCTACTGGTGCTTTTAATTTCACATTTAAAGTACCTTTTTATTATTTAAATAATTGTAAATATCAGTATTCAACGTTTTATGTTTAATATATCAAAACTTATTTATGCATTTGTAAAAATAGGCCTTTGTAAAGGTAAATAAAAATATGCAGATTTAAGTATATAAAAGCTGATAGAACACTGATGAAAATATTGCTTCAGAATAAATTGTTTGCACCACCAATAATCTTGGTGCTTTTGTAGGGATATTTTGCATGGAATATTGTCTTCTGATATGAAAAGTTAACTGTATAACTTAAATATAATTTATTACAGTGAGGATATTTTGTTTTCTTTTTACGTTAAACACACACGTTATATTACATACATATATGTAATATTTAATATTTCCATTACAGGTTTAGGTCTTAAATTTCATATAAGGTGGTATTAAAGAGGTCTTAAAAAGTCTTAAATTTAACTTGTTCATGTCTGTAGAAACCCTGGATAATGAAGTATTCTTACTGTCCGCTAAGAAATTGATCGCATTTTCGTGCCATGAATTTGGGTTTTCCTCGTATTGTTAGACATATGGCAAGAACCGTATCGGATTGCGAACGACTGTTTTCCTCACAATTTATATGTGGGAAGAAGAATAGATGTTTTGTAAAAAAAGACCTTTTTCTTTACCCATTCTTAAAAAAGTGAATGGACGCTGTATGAAAAGCTATATTTGTTACCTATTTTCAGATTAAGATATTCTCAGTCCTTCCAAGATTGAATAATTTTCTAATTGAGATGAGAGAATTGGTATGGTGAAGTCCTTGCAAAACACATTGTCTATACCAGTTGATCTGGACAGGATGGATGAAACAGCAGAGTAGTATGTTTCAGCCAAGTGTTTAGTACAAATTCAACTAATGGCTATTTTCCATTATTTGTTCACTTGGATGTAGTGACATTTTGAAATGAATCTACTCTTGCTTTGTTCTGTCTCTGCTGTGTTAGAGCAAGTGCGCTGCTCTTTTTAAAAGCATTGTCAGTCACCAACAAAGCCAAAATTAGGAGACAATGCTGTTGATTAGACGGATGGCAATACATAGAACAGATACGTACAACTGTATTTAGATCACTTGTCTGAAAAGATTTTTCAGACATTTGAGTTATGTATTGGCTCCGAAAAGTTAAAGGCAATACTTTATATGGAATGTGGGAGCCATAAGAAAATTATATTGATAAATGAATAAATAATATAATGTTAAATAGATGTCTTCAAAAATATAGCTTGTATTACATCTTGTTATCTTTAGATTTATGAAGTTTGTATCTGTTATCCCTGGGGGACAGCTTGAAATGTGATACATTGCAGAGATCGAGACTTTAGTTTGTGTTGACTAAAATAACTTGTGCATTGTGATGAATGAGAACAAGATTGAGTGATTACTTTAAACGGCCGTTTTCAGCTAATAATAAAATGAAAAAAATAAGAAAATGAATTTCTTCTTGACTTTGGTTGTCACATTCGATAGACTATTTACAAGATTTCAGTCTGAAGTTATAATACATTGTGCTGATGTATTCATAAGGCTTACAGAGGATGATATGCTCAGATCAGGCAGAATAGGTTCACGACAGAAAAACGAGACTTGTAGTTCCTAAAAGTGCTCCCGCTGTTCCCTGGGGGAAGAAAGATATGTTTTCCGTCAATTGCCCCAAGGCAATGTGGAAATTGCCACCTTTCCTGGAATCCTTTAGGCACATCTCTCCACTCTGTTTCAATCACTGGAGTCTGGAAAGAGACAAAAAGAGCAGGAGAAGAATGATTTACATGAAATCGTTTGGCACATAAATCTGTGAATCAAAAAAATATAATTGTGACATGATTAATGTTGTCTTTGATTAGTTTCTGAAGTTTGTGCATAAAAACCTTATGAAGGGTTCATAAAGTCTGTACATTAGACGTCTATCATGTTCAAGATGGCGCCACAAACGGCCGCCTCTGTTCATAGCTTGTTGGTACCTTTACTATTTTTGTTTGTTTGTCCTGTTTTCGGTGTTGGGGAGTAACCAGTTACATGTAACAACATTACATAATTTAATTACAAAATGGTAACGATTACAAAGGGGGTTACTTCTGAATATTTTATGATATGTTGAATGAAATTAATTTGTTGCTTTTCCTGTTTTTTTATGTGGACGATGCGTTCTATCATTTAAATGCAGTTTAGTAAAGCGATGCTATTCTGATGCTTTTGATTGGTTCTCTTATTTGAATTTGTGTGTTTGCACACACTTGGCAAATAAAGCTCATTCTGATTCTGAAGTGATACTTTTCCTTAAGCACATGGTACAATACTTCACATGTCTCTTGAACAATGCTTGAAACAGTAGTTCGTCCCATTCTGTACTGAAAACTTAGTGAGGCAAATGATTCCCCTGGAGATTACAAAAATATATCATCAAGAAGTTCATTTTTATAATATTATGTACTTAAAAATCACAATATCCTACCTGTGGCCAAGAATCGAAGCGTCACAGAGAGCCTCTCTCTGGCAGTAATTGCTCTTCTCAGATGTGTTTATGTGGGGAGAGACCAAATCCAGCAGATGGTGAAATTACTGTAAATTCATGCGGAGAAGACCTCTAAACCCTCGGGTGTCATCACTCTGTAGAACAGAAAAATATTGTTTGAATGCTGTTATTGCTGTGTGAGTAAGTGAATGTACGTTATTTTAACAAATTTACCTCTAAAAATAGCAAACCGTTCACATGGGAACACTTTTGCTATAATGATAACTGCATCCCGAGTCAAAACTCCGATGCCCCACCAGATCCTCAGACTGGAAGACACTGCATGAGGAGAGAGACACTA